ATGAAAATCTAACTCTTAAATTTGCTGGTAGCGCTACAACAGATTTTTTTTCTGGAACATTTTATTTGTGTTAAAATTTTTAACATGTGTACAAATGTGTGTGCAAAAGTTCGCCGTTTTCACTTTGCTTATTATGTTACATCAGAGCTGACCTCTAATTCACCACGTGATGATGGTTGCACATCGAGTTCCACCTACGCCCTACCCAATCAATCCAATTTTTTGATGTGGTTTTTACATTATATTTGCAACGATTTACAAAGATTTTTATTGGAGTTAGATTCGTTGGCTGCATTGTTAATGTTCTTTTTTTATATCTGTTACACATTTAAAGTTAGATTTTTTGGAGAAATGAGATTTAACTGATTTAGACCTTAGTTTTGCTCGTATATACTTATGTCATGTTGATATATACTTATGTCACGCATGATACCATAATGTGCGATTTAATACCATCTTCACTTAAGCTTTGCAACGTCGGGGAGAAATACACCACGTAAGAATTTAAATTAATAATTTTAAAATAATCTAAAGTTTAAAAATTTATCTTTGATTGTACTAAATTTGGCCTTTGCTCAAAATATTCGTGTTAATTAGGATAACTGATGCTGCATTTTAAATGCAATCATCTTGAGGCATTATCGAAAAGACTTGCAAAACCACGATCCTTCTCATTTGCCCCTTCCAGAACACTAACTGCTGTTAACTGAAGTTATGCATAAGAAGCATCTTTAAAGCAAGAAAAAGACTGTTAAAAATTTAACACTAACTTTCAAACTTCGGATTAATTTGAAATCATTGAATGGAATTCTTATGTGGTATATCCTTATCCAATGCTGCACGTCTCGAGTGATCACACATTTATTCTGACGTTGAGCACATTAGAGAAATGTCACATTCTAAGCTGTGTCAAACTTGTGACAGAGACGAAGTCTGTGGACGTGGAGAAGGATACGTCTAAGCAAGTCCAGACTTTTAAAGTAAAAATAGACTTTTAATGTGTGGTAGATAGAAAAAAAGGAACCGATGCAGTAAACCAAAGAATCCTACTCCATTGAAAATTTTTGTAAATATACTACCCCACCGAAAAACTGAATAGGAAAAGTGTAGGTGGAATTCGAAGTGCAACCATCTTCACGTGGTGAATTGTTCGGATCTAATATGGATGGTATTTTCTACACTAGAAAGCGCTGCAAGCTCTTGACTGCCTATACTTCCGGTTTACTGTTTTCGACTTGTTTTGAAGCCATTTGGCTCAAAACGTGATCATAGTGTTTTGAGACTCTCTTGTATACGTGCATTTGTCATCTGATTTTGTCACCGTCATTTGAAAACTTGTCATTTCAAAACGTAAAAGTTGTCATTTGAAAAACACTTCTTACCTTGTTAACAATAAATCAACTTCGAAATTTAAAATTAAATGATAATTTGTAAAATTTACTTAAACTCGCTGATCGAGCAATATGCTAACACTAACGTATGATGATACACTAGTTGCACCGAGAACTAACAGCAATAAACAAGTAAAAAGAGGCCAAATCAGAACTGTCAAAATTCTTTCTAAATCTAGCAACCATGTCACCTTTTTTAAAAATACATCTCTTAATAACTAGAAACTTCAAACGCACCAGAATTACTTAATATCATTAATATCTTATGAAATACAGCAGACTTAGGCTCAGAAATTGTATAATTTTTTTTTATTATTAAAAACGAAATTATCTGTTTGAAAATATCATCTCGCAGAATAAGATGTAGTAAGAAGCTGTATACTTTATAACCGAAAGTTAAGCAGGTCAAGAACTCGAGATTAATATTACATTTAATCGAGATAGTTTACATTTATATTGAAAGCACCCTTCCTAATGAACGAAGTGAAAAGCAATTTTCTAAAACCTCGTGCGAATGTAAAACATTAAATTATTGATCAAATTTTAATTCATTTTGGATACCATCAAGCATAAAAAATAGAGCATATTTTGTTCAAAAAATAATTACCAATTAAAAATAATTTAAAATGCGCTTTTTCTTAAATTAATTTTAAGCACAAACGGAAGATGTAAACGGACTTAAATATTTTTGTACAGTTTTTATTCCTCTTACAATAGGCAACTTTTCCACCGTGCCCAAATTCAAAAATTTATTTTTTTCGACGCACGTACACATTTTTATTAATTTAAGATAAAATATTTGTCTATAAAATTCGGCTTATTAGTGTTGCTTCAAAAATTTAATAAGTCAAAAAAATTATCCTCCTTAATTTTCAACTCAACCGTAATAAGTTTTTACCTTGACTCGCTAAACGGATCATTTGAATATCTTTAGATTTGTCGTGTCCTTGAATTTAAAGCAGAGATATTTATATACATATGCAAATTGTATGATATAAAAGGTGAAGGTTAAAGTTCAGATTTTTTCAGTTTAGTCACACTTTTAAGACCTTTCTTTTTTTTTCTTTCTTTTTGACAAAAGTCTATGTCTAATTTATTGATAAATAAAATAGACATAGAAGAATATCAGAGCCGTTTTTAAGGATGGGCCCAGTAGGCCCTGTTCCAGGGTCCCGAGTTCTGATGGGGGCCCAAAAAGTCTGAAATCTCATTGTATTAATTGTTTCGTTGCTTTATTCTAACTCATTTATTATTTATAACTTAAGAGGGCCCCCAGATACCACTTTTGCCCCTCTTTTTTTAAAGTTTTGTTCGTACCTCTAAAGCCCATAATACATTTTTTTTTCTTTTTTACATTGTCGAAAGCTTTTTAAACTCTAATCGAAGTGTTTACAAATATAAAATAATTGTTACTCTTCTCTTTTCAAACCAAAAGAGCAATAAAACGATATTTCCACTGATGAAAATATCCCCACTTTCGTAGCTACCACCCACAGAGTTGTCAAATAGTCTCCTCACTTCACACTGTGGGAAAATGTTTTTAGCTTCTTTATATTGCCTTGGGCTCTTTTTTTCTAACTTAGAAAATATCAGATAGTCATAGAAACACCCTTTTGTCTGATTTCTGGTCATGAATTGCTTGGAATAAATGCTCTGGTCATAAATGCTCTAAGACAGCGGTTCCCAATTGTTGTTTGTCAATTGTCTGCGGATCCCTAAATAATCAGTCTTCTATCTCAACGGCGGTTATAAAATAAAGTAAAATAAAAATTTAGCGAAAATTGAAATAAATGTAATTACAATGAAATAACAATGCAGCTGTTCAATGACGGTTATTAAATAAACTAATAATTTGGCCGCGGTAGTTTGGTTGGTAGGGCTATGGACTCGTGTTCGTGAGAATTGGAGTTCGAATTCAGCCGGCCGAATAATACCCATCTATAAAATGGTAACTGGTGCATGTTGAATCTGTCTGGGTCACAAATTCCACCAAGTTCTCATAACAATTCAATACCCCTGAGTACTGATCCAGGAGTTCCCTTGTCTTCTGGATTAGTTTTAAGTAACCGAGGCTACGTAGTTAAACACTGAAAGTCGTAAACTCAAAATTGAGTCGGTTTTTTAACGGAAATTATAAAAAAAATAAAACTATTAATCAAATTGTATTTTCTTGTATTCTTTCTAACACCTTGCATATTTTATACACACCTTCATAATTTCATGCTTCTAAGTCTCATGGATTTTGAGCAGCAAAGCAAAATGTAACGTACAGAAAAAAAAATTGAGAAAAAAGTTCGCAAAAAATCATTTAAAATTGCAAATAACATATACATATATTCAAAATTTAAAAAAAAAAAAATTAAAAATTAAATAAATTCAAGCATTTCAAGTATTATTTGGCCCAGGAGAATAAGTTAGGACAATTAGGCATAAATGACTTGTATAAATTAGTGAAAAACAATAATCACGAAGATAAATTTCCAAACATTGACATTTCATTTCAAATTTTTTGTCACTCATGATAACTAATTGTAGTAGCGAACGCTCATTCTCCAGACTAAAAGTAATAAAAAATGAGTTAAGAAATAGTATGACTCAAGAAAGATTGAGTCATTTGTCAATTATGAGCATTGAATATGATGTCTTACAGGAAATTGATGATATGATGGAAGACTTCGCCTCTCAAAAAGAGCGAAAAGTATTGTTATCTTAAATTTCTGATAAAAATAATGTAAGCTTTTATAATTAAGTAATAATATAAGCTTTTATAATTAATCTATATGTTTTTTACACTAAAAATAAAAAAAAATTTAAAAAATGCAAAATTAATTTTTTTTCTCTAAATTTAGTCATAAAGGGCCCCCAAATAATGACAGGCCCAGGGCCCCTGTAAACATAAAAACGGCTCTGAAGAATATACTTTCGAAATAGACGAATATACATCGAAAGAATATACTTTCGAAATGATTGTTTATTAGGCTAAATTCAATATTTTAAGTCGGTACTGAGTTTACATATTTACAAAACAGTTGGTATTCAAAATGAAAAGTATTTTGGTCTCCTCATTATTTTTGGTAGAAGAAGACAAAAACAAAAATTCAGTGATTTTTAAAATTAAATTGGCTTTATTTCCTCCTGCAGTAACTCTACTTTTCTTTCCCTCTTATGTAATATTGGTGATATTCAAATACCTTCACATGTCTCTAGTCTGAAGTATAAAAAAAATTTACACAAGAAATTAATAGTAAAAGCAAAAATACCATCAAAATATAATGAATCACAGCTGAGGCAGCGAGACTGAAAACACGATATCAGTTTTATTTCTTGACGAAATTATATAATTTCAAATACTCTAACAATTTGCTTTCAACAATAATTTGCTTTTGATGTATTCAATCTCATCTTTCTAAGTAATAATTCGTTATATTTTGATTATATATCTGATCTTAAATATTAATTTCTTATTTGCTTAACTTGTTTTTATTCTAAATATATTTATTAAAGATAGTCATTATAGTTTATGTTTATCTGTGGTATTTTGAAAGAAATAATTCTCCAATTTTCATTCAGATGTCTCGATATTATTGAACAATAATTTAATATTTTCAGATGATAAAGTCATTTCTACCTGACATGCTTCAGAATGACCATGGCCATATCGTATCAATTGCCAGTCTTGCCGGACTTGGAGGAGTTCCTCGTTTAGCAGATTATTGCGCTTCCAAATTTGCTGCTGTTGGATTAATGGATAGTTTAGAAGTTGAACTGCATGCAATGGGAAGGAAAAATATAAAACTAACTACGATTTGTCCCTTCTTTATCAACACCGGCATGTTCAATGGAATAAACTCCAAGTAAGTAAAGGTTCGAATTTAATATGGCTTAGTTTGCCATCCTCATTAACCATAATATAGTTAACCACGAATTTGTAACTATTAATTAAATTACAGAATCAGACACAAAAACATTATTTTTCTAAAAAAATAAACCCATTTTTCAATGTTGTTGTTGTTGAAATATGCCTGTTTAGGCAGAGGGGTGCGATTGTTCTTGTTTTCCAGTGGCGCCATCTTCGGCCAAGAATTCGACTTCTGCAACACAAATACGTCACACCCGTTTATAGGGCAGATCCATTCACACATTCATTCATTCATGCACAGATCGTAATTTTGACCTGAATCAGAGAACGATCGATCTCCAATCCAATACCCCAGAGGTATTGATTTGTAATGTGAACATGGTAGACTTTGTGACTCGACAGACTTAACATGCATCAGTCACCATTTACTACACGAGGAGTAGTCGGACGGTGGGGTTCGAACCCACGAACTCTCAGACATGGGCCCAGCGCCCTACCGACCCATTTTTCAATGAATTTCGGTTTAGGGAGGGGTAGCCGCAATATGAGAAAAATGGTCCCAATACTTTAACCAGGACAATTGTCGGAAGTTAGGCCCCTTCATGTAGTTTTACTTTTTCTGTATTTCGCAGTATATTGGTAATTGTTTTAGAGGATCGAAAAATTTCCACAAACAATTTTAAAATTTCCTTTATATAAAAGTAATTCGATGTAAAAAAAATAATTTTTAACAACTGTTTATAATTTTTTATTATTTAATTTACAAATTGTCAGACAAGTTTGAATTTAATATGGCTTAGTTTACCATCCTCTCATATGGTTAACCACGAATTAGCAACTATAAATTAAGTTACAGAATCAAAAGCAAAAACGTACTTCTTCTAAATAAATAAACACTTTTTTCAACAAATTCAGATATAGGGCCAGCTACTGATCTGTCTCCGGCCTAGGCACCCTGAACCTACACCTGTAGCCCCGCAATATGAAAAAAATGGTCCCAATACTTTAGCTACGAAAATGGTCAGAAGTTAGGCCGCTTCATGCAGTTTAACTTTTCGTGTATTTCGCAATATATTGGAAATTGTTTAAGCGAATCAAAAAATTTTCACAAATAATTTTACAATTTATTTATCCAAAATTAATTCAATGTGAAAAATAATTTCTAATAATTGTTGATTACTTTTTATCATTTGATTTATAAATTGTCAGAAAAGTTTGAACTGAAAGGTATAAGAATTTTTACATGACATTAAACTATGCAATTTTAAACGACAAAATAAAAAATTTTAATGGTTTCATCATAAATTAAAATATGTATTTTATTTATTTATTTTCGAATTTATTCAACTTTTGAGAAACTTTTTATCGAATTGAGATAAAACGAAATTTTTAATGAAAAAATTATAATTCGAAGCTTTAGAACCTCTTTAAGGTAGCTAATTGTATGCATTTGAAATAAGCCTTGTATTGACTTAAGTATTTTTTTAATTTGTGTTATGTGTCGAGTCCATTTTAAACGAGCACGACTGTTTCTAAAATCTTACTTTATTTATATACACGGAAAACTTTTTTATTTCTTAAGTGAAAAATAAAACATTGTAATTACTTTTATGTTATTACTTTTGTTTATTTTCTTATTATAATTATTATATTTTGAAAATATCTCTTTTTATAGAGAATCGTATAGCATGATAATGCATTATTAATAATTTCCAAAAATATTGTTCACAAAAGATAACACATTAAGCTTATACACTGACACAAAAAAAATTCCAACACCAAGAAGGAATTGGGCTAGATAAACTAATTTGGTAGGTTTGTTTATACAACTAAAAGATAATGACTATTCAAATTTCGTGCTTGGTACATAAGTTTGGTTCAATATGCGAATCAGGGTTGCTATAAATACGGGTTCTACAGTTCGTAAGCGTTATTTTTCGTTCAATTTTGACATAGTGAGTTTCTGTTAGACAAGAATAAAGAAGACGTAGAAGCCATTATCAACAGCTCACTGAGTTTGAACATGGTCGTGTAATAGGGCTGCGAGAAGGGGAAATTTCTTTCCACGATATTGTCGAAAGATTGGGGAGAAATGTATCCACTGTGCTTGATTTTATTTTATTTTACAACCGTCGATAAACAGTCGACCCAATTTTTTGGGTTTATGACTACTAATGTTCAACTCCGTAGCCTTGTAATTTTGAACCGAATCCAGAAGACTCCAGGATCAAGTATTAGGCGAAATTTGCCTTCGTGATTGCACTAACCCGAATTTGTGTTACATGGAGAGGAAAACCACGAAAACTTCCTACGGTTAGCCTCACTGTAAGTGAACTCAAACCCACGAACCGTCTACCACTGAGGATATTTTACGTTAGCACTGTGATGGGTGCAAGCCGAATGCGGAATTCGTATCGACGAGCCGTCGCTGAGATTCGAAACCGGCTCACGTCATTGGAAGGCGAATGCTGTTGGCAGCAGTGGTCATGGGAACGTACTGTTTTAAGAAAACCGGGTTCTAGGTTGCCAAACGGCACTACTCAGAGGGAAGACCACCGTGTACGGCGTATGTCTGTGGCGCACTGTACTGTGTCTGCATCAGAAATTCAAGTTGCAGTTGGTACTGCAGTGAAACAACGAACTGTTACAAATCGGCTACTTCAAGTACAGCTCCGATCTAGATGCCATGTAGCTTGCATTCCCCTCACTCCAAACCACTGTCGTGCACAGCCTTACCATTAGCGGCTTAATGCAAAAACTCCATTTTATCAAAAAATCCCATTTTTCTCTATTCGAAATTGTGTAATATTTTCAAGAAATATGCAATACTTGCCCGGATAAATTTGATTTTTTCTTTTTTTGCCATTTTCGTAAGTAATATATTTGTATTGTTTATAGATTGTTCAGCATCTTAGAACCTGAATATGTTGCTGAAGAAATTTTAACATCGATTTTATGCGAAAAAGGAACTGTCATTATACCACGGTCTTTCTATGTATTGATTGCTATGAAAACGTAAGTATCATTGATTTATCCATGGCTTGCCAGGTAAAACCAATGCCTAATACATATATATATATA